TGTCACTGAGAGAGGCTGGGATGCAGGACGAGCCCGTAGGCACTGCTGGGACAGATTTACAGAATCTGAATTTCAATTTGTTTGGAAAAGACCTTATTGAGACCAGCCTGTGAACAATCCCCATCCTGTCAACAAGATCAGAGCATGTGCCTGGTCCAGTCTCACCAGGGATGGGAGACTSCAGCACCACCCTCGGCAGCCCTTTCCAATGCCTGTCCACCTTTTCCATGAAGAAACTCCCTGATACACGACCTGAACCTGCCCTGGCACAGCCYGAGCAGAGCCCGAGCCCTGTCCCGCCACTGCACCCTCCTGTCAGGGAGCTGTGCAGAGCCACAAGGTCCCCTCYGAGCCTCCTTTGCTCCAGCCCTGCTCCCTCACTCGCTCCCGGTGCCCCAGGCCCTTCCCCAGAGCCGTTCCCTTCTCTGKACACAGCACCCAGGGGACAATCACTGTCCCGGCCCTGCTGGACAGACTATTCCCGATAGTACAGCTGGATACAGCTCGGGAGCCCGCATTCCCGGCCGCACAGGCAGGATCCGCCTCCCCTGTCTCCCCGCCCGCCCGTGTCCCCTCACCAGCGGGACAGTCACTGTCCCGGTCCTGCTGGACACACTATTCCCGATACAGCTCGGAATGGCTGGGCTGAGCCTGCCCTGCACGCACTCCCGGCCCCACAGGCCGGGTCCGCCTCCCCTGTCTCCCCGCCCGCCCGTGTCCCCTCACCGGCGGGACAATCACTGTCCCGCTCCTGCTGGACACACTATTCCCGATACAGCTCGGAACGGCTGGGCTGAGCCTGCCCTGCCCGCATTCCCGGCCGCACAGGCAGGGTCCGCCTCCCCTGTCTCCCCGCCAGCCCGTGTCCCCTCACCGGCGGCCAGGCCGTCCCGGAGCCGCAGCGGGACCCGCAGCACGGCRTACAGGAGCCCGAGCCCGGCGGCCACAGCCAGGAGCCCGCGGGCCCAGGGTGTCGCTGCCCGCCGCCGCAGCTGCTCCCAGCGCCGGAACGCCGCGGCCGCTCCGGGACACGGCGGCCCCCGAACGCTCCCACCGCCACCACCACCACCGCCGCCGCTGCCGCTGCCGCTGCCCTCCGCCATCGCCGCCCACGGGGCACGCCGGGACAGGGGCGGGACGAGCGCAGGGGCGGGGCTCCGCCGGAGCGGACAGCTCGTTCATCCCCGCTCCAAAGCGGAGCGTTGCCCGATCGTTCCCCACACCACAACCGGCATTCCCGGGGGCTCCGGGGCGCGGCCGCTCCGCCACCGCCGTGTTCCCGGTCCGGGGAATCCTGCCCGTTTCTATGATGGCGGCAGCACAGCGTCTGCCCGTAACTGACATGGAGGCAGCCGCGCTTCCGGTCTGCTGCCCTCGSCTGTGGCAGCCTGCGGGGCACGCCGGGACAGGGCAGGGACACCAGGGTGGTTCGGTCCGCGTGGGCAGCCCATCACCGCTGCTTTGCCGAGCATATCCCACACGATGCCCGGTACTCCCGCAGGGTCCGGGAGGGGACGGCTCTGTCCGCCGGTACCGCAGGTTGGGAGGGCTGTGTCCGCCGGTACCGCACACCCCCCCATTGCGGTGACGGTGGCCGGGCGGTGTTTGCCCACAGTTAAGATGGCGGCAGCAGCTTCGGGCCGCTGCTCGGGGCTCCCGGCGTGCACCGCGCGGGGCCGGGCACACCGCTGCCAAGATGGCGGATCTGGACGAGAGGGTGTCGGATGAGGAGAAGGTAAAGGAAGGCGGTGCCGCTTCTCCGCTGGGGCTGTGCCCTTCCCCYGGGAAGGCAGCGGGTGGGGAGTGCGGGGAGGCTCGCCCGGTGCTCATATGCCGCCTGTGGGTGCCTCGGGGCGGGCAGGCCCCCGAGACCACCGGGCCGCCGCCGCCCGGGTGAAAGACCGGCCGTTCCCATCAACGCAGCACTTTGCGTTTCGATTTCCTCAYTGCCTTGCGATTTCTTCATTGGCTCGGTCCGTCTGTATGCATGGAAACGGATATAGTGTTAACCTAAACCGGTGGGGTTGAGGTTGGGCAGCGGGAGTTTGGTGACAGAAAGGGCGGTTAGACACTGCAAGGGGCTGCCCAGGAAAGCGGTAGTGTCCTCATCCCTGGTGATGTTCACARAACTACTGGACATGGCACTCAGTGCTCTGAGCTGCTTGACAAGGCAGGGATCGGTCACCGGTGGAGCATTCGATGATCCTGGAGATCTTTTCCAGGATCMTCCATTCTGCGAAAATGTATTTTCTGCCCTTCTTTTCCCAAATCAGCACGGTAACAAGCGTGTCTATACAGTACTGTGCAACGTCTTCACTTCCTAAACACCCTCTGACTCTGTCGTTGCACTTTCTGCTCGCCGCACCTGCTGACAGGAACTTTGATGCAAGTCCTACGAATTATGCTGGGTGGAAAGTACTAATTAGGAGCAAATGGAGCCATAGTTATTTTAGAAAAGGGGGAAACGAGCRCATTTCTCCTCTTGTGTTGGAATGTGCAAAATTACGGTCTGCAAGTGTCTCCCAGCTAACACTGTTGTCTACAAATAGTAGTTTAAAAAGACACTGTTACYCTCCCTTACATCACAGAAGTGTCGGGTTTAGTGCTTGCTTTGTTTCTCAACATTCTGGAGGAGTTGTTCAGGCTCCTGAGTCTTCACTGATCTTACAAATCCATGCATGCTTTCATTGTTCGCTTAAACTGCAATTCAGTTTCATTTCAGTGATATCAGTTGTGAAACAAACAGAGCTTTAAAGTTGCAGTTCATCCATTTGTCAGTATTKTAGGTGAGACTGTTTGAAATAAGTTTTCCAGAGCTGAATTTATATGGTCTTTAGCTCATAGCTTRATTCAATTTCAACTCCATGCCTCACACAGGCAGAGAAGAACAACCTTAAGGGAGGATCTGAAAGATTTCAGATCAGGCAGCAAAGATTTACTGTAGTATCCATTTTATGACTATTCAGATGAGTCTAARCTTTATATATGTTAATTATTTAAGTTTGAGTTTACTAGTACTATAAAGGAAAGGAAGAGCAACAAATTTGATTAATTCCATCCTCCAAGCTTCACTTCTTTATCCTCTATGAGCATATTTTAGGTAAGAGATTCATTTTTCAGACAGGTTGGAGAGCTGGGGATCTGCAGCCTGGAGAAGGCTCCAGGGAGGCCTTAGAGCCCCTTCCAGTGCCTAAAGGGGCTCCAGGAGAGCTGGAGAGGGACTGGGGACAAGGGCTGGAGGGACAGGACACAGGGAATGGGGTCACAGTGCCAGAGGGCAGGGATGGATGGGATATTGGGCAGGAATTGTTCCCTGGGAGAGTGGGCAGGCCCTGGCACAGGGTGCTCAGAGAAGCTGTGGCTGCCCCTGATCCCTGGCAGTGCCCAAGGCCAGGCTGGACATTGGAGCAACCTGGGACAGTGGGCAGGGCGTGGAACTGAATGAGCCTTACGGTGCTATCCAACTCAAGTATTTGGTGATTCTGGGATTTTCTGTGAAGTTCTTCTGAAATCTCCCCTGTTTTGCTCAAGTTCATTCTGCTGCCGTTCTGCCGTTTTWAACTAACGGCTGAGCAGCTTCCCTTTCCCTCTGACACTTTCCCCATTTTAGAAGCAGGAAGTTGATGCTGCAGAGCTGAAATGGCACCTGAAATGGCCCCGGGGGCCAGGAAATGGGGCAGGTTGCAGAAAGTCCTATTTTGGTGTTTCTACAGAGTAGCATTTTGACACCACCCTGCTAGAAACCAGCCCTGAAAACCAACAACCATTCAAGTGCTTGACATTTCAAGTTAATCTATGACCAGCCTGTTTCCTGCACTCCTGATTTCAATAGTTGGACTGAAATGTTTTGTATTTTATTGCTCCATGARAGGCAGGGCAAGGGATGATTATCAAGTGAACACTTTCCACTTGCAGCCTTTGCTTCATTCAGAGCTGGGTTTGTAATAACATTTGACTGAAGTGCAGAGGCTTTCAGTGTTGATTTAATTTTGTTCATCCTTCCAAGTGAGAGAATTTGTGGAAGACTATAAAAATCTCTCATATAACATTGGGCTTATTTTCTGTTTGTTGTTTCTTTTTCCCATAAGGATTTCGTTGTGAGAATTCATTGACCTACAATTCAGCCTCCTTAAGCAATAACCGTTTTTGCAAGGGTTTTATGTTCTGCAGCCACAACAGCATAGCAGAAATTTGTAAGATATTAAGTGTAATAGCTTTTTAGGGGCCTTTTTTGCTATATGTTGAAGCGTGTTAYAAAAGAGAATCTGTTCATCCAGTGAGTTAATTTGCATGGTGTATTCAGTGCTGTCCTCCCTCTGAGAGACATCCTGGCATTGGTGATGGATACTTGGGGGAGCTGTAGCACAGTGATACTCTCTCTGTGCTGTGCTTATAATTGTTCAGAAAAGCACATGATGATGTCGTTTCTGAAATCTTTTTTGGGGCTGGCTCTGAACAAAGTCCACAGAGGACACAGAGCATCAGGGTCCCTCTAAATGACTGCCAGGCTCTCTTCATCATCGCCCAAATTTCTGACAGTGAAATTTGACAATATTGTGGCAGTAATCTGTCCTCGTTACAGCTCCTTAAATAGTGAAAGTTTTCAAACAGTAAGAGTTCAGTTTTTACAACTGCAGTATGCTTAACAACCTCAAACCAGAAAATTAAGAGAATATTGTTTGACATTCTGCATCTTATCAATTACACACAATACTTTTTAATGTTTCCTTTGTATTGCTTAATTACTTCAGGCACAAAGAGTGTATATCTATTTTTTGAAATCACTGCTAATTTGGAAGACAGTGTATTTTTATCTGGAGCTCAGTCCAGTTAAGGCAGAGTTGTTATTTCATCATATGTATGAACTTAGTAAATTATCTTTTGCCTTTAATTACTTTTCTGCTTCATTGTAGGTGCGTATAGCTGCAAAATTCATCACTCATGCACCCCCTGGAGAGTTCAATGAAGTATTCAATGGTAAGTAATTAAGGAAGAACATTTTGTGGTATTTTCTTCACATTTTATCTATTTGCAAAAATCGAAGGCTGTGTCTCACCATACTGCTTTTAAAGTTAAGTGGCTAGGGAGAGTGGGCAGTCTTTCTGGACTATATCTGCTTGATGAAGTTATTCATTCATTTCAATGTTTGCATTTGGACAATTGAAATTAAAATGCATAAAGAGAAACATCTGATCAAAAAATCCAGTACCTCACCTGARCCCTTTCTTCTGCAGATGTCCGGTTATTGCTTAGCAATGACAATCTTCTCAGGGAAGGAGCAGCACAGTAAGTAGTGAGATTACAAACACAAGTCATATTATATCAGAGATGCTTCTGTTTTCTCATACCCATCATTCTGTGATAAAGAAAACCTCTTGCTGTATTGAGAGCAATCTTCTGTAATTCCTTACCCCACCTAACAAAATATATAATGAAAGGCATGGATGATTCCTTTTTAAAGCCCTAAATTGGAATTTGTGCTGTATAAAACACTCTGCCAAAGTGAAAGGCATTCTGCAAAAATGTTAAACTCTGCAGCAGCAGAAATGTCTGATCATATTGAAGCATGATTTATAAAGCAAGTGAAGCCTGAAACACTGAGTAATCTGTAGCCTAAGTTTAGAAAAAGACCTGCCCTCAATRAAAAGCTTTCAAAATATCTTATTTCCACAGCTTCATCAGAAGGTACTTAAAGATTACACATACAAGCTTTTTGATGCAAAGGTTTTATTTCAAGCTTGGTGGCATGTCAGTCAGCAAGTCTTTACATAAGAAAATTGTTGTAAATATTTGTCTACTCATTTGCTTWCCTTACTGCAGTCCAAATTGTAGCTGGGGTGTTCCTGTTTTGCCTTGGCTTGCTCACATTCCCCCAGGCTGCTTGCTGTTCTAGTTTTGAACTCTRCTTTCCTGGTCATCACTAAACAAACCTGCCTGTAGACCTGGGGTTTATAGCTATCTACAGTAAAAGGTATTCAAAAATCCTTTAAGGTGACATTTGCTGTAATATAATCACACAGTGTGCTTTTTCTGAGTCCAGTGTGCAAGTACAGCTAAGTTCATGTTCTTTGACTCCTCAACAGTGCATTTGCACAGTACAACATGGATCAGTTCACTCCAGTGAAGATAGAAGGGTACGATGATCAGGTAAGAGGAAATGTGGTACACTTGAGGTTTGTACTCCTGCACTGTGAAAAAGCAGTAAAAATGTTTCATCAAGATACTGACAAGTCAGCATCACCATCAGCTGACTCACTCATTCTGCTCACAAGTCACTACCTTTCCTCCTTCCCCCACA